AGTTTCAGAAAACCTTCATAGCTGAATATTCTTAGGTATATAAGACATTCTATATTTCATCCTACTTGGCTTTCTTATCTACCTCAAATTCAAGCCTAAAGGCTGAGGGACAAAATGGAAATAGCTCCACCTATTGGTCATCATGAGGTAAAGTTAACGACACCAAATTAAGAAAACATTTTCTTTTTGGCAGATAATCATGCACTGTGTGTAATTACTATGAACCTGCAAGTCTATGGCATAATATGATTTAATTAATGTTTACTTATATACTAACTACATAAGTAAAAATAAAACTTAAATACTAGGTACTTGAGATTAATGTGAAAATAATAGGTAGAAATTTCTTCATGTTATTGATAAACCCTGACATAAGTTTCTGTACTCACAACATATACCATATGTTGACAAGGAGGTATTAATAATAAATTTTTCAGGTGAAGAAACTATTTGAGGTTTGAAAATTTTCTTTCCTCTGCTGTGTATAATCTCAGTGATGTTAGGAATCTGTCTCATTTGGTCATACATGTAGTTCCATGCCTACCTAGCACCATATACAGCCTCAATAAATGAATGAAGTGAGTCATACTGATACATGTTCATGAAGGCATAAAGGTTACTATAAAAGAAAAACCAGCTGAATATAAATATTAATTATCCATAATGTGCTGGACTATTGTAATTACTATCTCAATCTAGTTTAAATTTATTTTTATAAGAATAAATTTATATTTTAAAACATATAGGGGGGCCGAGGCAGGCAGATCAGGAAGTCAGGAGATTAAGACCATCCTGACTAACACGGTGAAACCCCGTCTCTACTCTAATACAAAAAATTAGCTGGGCATGGTAGCGGACGCCTGTAGTCCCAGCTACTAGAGAGGCTGAGGCAGGAGAATGGTGTGAACCTGGGAGGCAGAGCTTGCAGAGAACCGAGATCGCGCCACTGCACTCCAGCCTGGGTGACAGAGCGAGACTCAATCTCAAAAATAAAAAAAAAAAAAAAAAAAAAAAAAAAAAAAAAAAAAAGACAAGGCAACTAAGTTGTGCAAAATGCTAGGATTAAGACAAGACAACTCTAAATTGCCTTAATCCTAGTATTTTGTAAATTTCCACTGCTGCACACTGAAGGAGAAAGAAGGTATTGTAGTAATACAAAATGTTAACCCTTAAAGGGATTTTTGAGATGCTCTCTAATACCCTTATTTTGTACCGTGGAAGCAAAGGCAAAAGATTTCTGAATTACATCCACAATAAGAACAATTCTGATTTCACTCTTTATGCTTTCTTAAGGGAAGGAAATTGGAGATACTTTAATTTTACCAGGGAGATTTGAGACCTGGGTCTTTTTACTATTTGGAATCTACTGCAGAACTTTTTTTTTTTTTTTTAAGTAGTGAGAAACATCATTTTTATTTTGGATGCTAATTTTTAACTACATATTATTTAATTAGTATTTAAATTTTTTTGCCTGAAGATTTTGATATATTTTTAGGCATTTAAAGAGGTTGAAGCTGGAACATTTTTTCAATGAAAAAAATGAGACGGTTTATTAGGGCTTCTGGCATAGTGCAATATAGTATGTATGTCTTAAAAGTTTCAGAAAACCTTCATAGCTGAATATTCTTAGGTATATAAGACATTCTATATTTCATCCTACTTGGC